TGGGATATAAACCTCATGCGTGTGACTAAAATCTTCAGCCAATAAGGGCAAAGTTGTGTCGTCATGGAGGCAGTTCCAGTTTGTGCTGCACGGTCTGTCTCAAGTCGTCTTGCTCTCGCGAGGATTTTGTACCATGTGACATGGTGACTCATGGTGACGTTTTGGAACATTTCTTTGCCGACTTCGATATCATGCGATGTGTATGAAGTGTGTGGACTGTGCACTGGCAGTGTCCATTGAGAAAATGTATACAATGTAACGTTTTTAAAGTAGATGCATCTGACTGGTTGCATTTGAATTGAGGCACGTAATGAATAATGATACTGTTCTGTGAGGATGTGCTGTTTTCTCTTTTTTTCCTCATCCCATCGAGACCACTATGTCCGAGACCAAGACAAGACCGAGACCTAATAGGGTCGAGACCAAGACAAGACCGAGACCAAATAGAGTCGAGACTAAGACAAGACCGAGACTACAGCACTACTGATCATGTACTGGAAATTCTAGCACCACAAGAAGAAGAACACCAGTAATTTTACCAATAGAAAGCCTGCAATACTGCAAGCTGGAAAACTATCTGATCACGTTACATTTAGGACTTATACTTCTGTATTTGTACCATCCTCACAACTTTTGTGAAGAACACTGTTATATAGCAACTTCCACAACCCAAATCAAATTCGCGCGGTTGATAAACTCCAAGACTTAAACTTTTTTAAATATAACCCAAGTCCGTCGACCCCCAGTACAATAATAAACTGAAAAAAGCACTACGTGCTTTGGACCCTAATTGATCTGCTCTTCAACACTGGAGTTGTGGTTTACATGTAATGTTCTTCTTTGCACAGCCACCGAGTCTTTTTTATGACCGATTTACCCTTTTCATCTGATGATTCAGAGCTACCATAATTACGAAAATACCCTAGGCCACCTAATGCGAGTCACAGAGTTACGTAAATGGCATTATTTGCGTTGATTAATGAAACTTATTGAACAAACCCAGAAGCTTTTCGACTCCATCAAGAAAAGGCGTAGTTATTCAGGATACGACGTCCAGGTAACATTTGTCAAGGATGGAAAGAATTTAATTTAAGGTACACTGCACTATATCCTAATTTAAAAAAAAAATCGACAAAACACCGTCATTTATGATCTATTACAGGATTGCGAATAAATTACATGTGGCATGTTCAGTAATGTCACAGCATATTCATTCCTTTAATGGAACAATGAAGTTGCAGTGGAGTTTCAGGACGTTATAAATGGATCATAAGCGGATCAAATATGCCCTAATTCATATCACATTGATATGCTATTTCTTCGTAAAATATAAAATAATACTGATAGTGTTCAAATGAATGATTGACAGCCAGTGGTTTATTATGTGCCTACCCAGAATCTCTGCAAATAACGCAGTGATAAGCATGGAATTGTCTCACCACTTGCCTTCTCCGCTGACGCCAGGTACCGTTTGAAGCTCCCTGCCGACCTGGTAAAGAGCACTATTAATGACCGCAGCCCGGCTTTCCTTGGCGTCTAGCTCAGTTGTATTCGCAGACTCCACTTCTTTGACCGAAACCGTCGCTGTTCTCCGTCTGCTGAGCGTGGAGGAGAGGGTACCCATTCAGAAAACGGTGACACAAGCGCACGAGAGTCACAGCTTTGTGCGAAGACACAGAAAACAACCAAGGTGAAAACATAGTCTTCTACCTCTCTTAAATTATGGGATGAATACGTATGTATCCACCCGTCCGATGACACTGGTATCTGCATCTGAGACGGCGATTCTCACTTCAGTCCCAAAACACTGTTGTCACCGTCCGATAACTTGCAAGTAAATATGCAACTCCGATGCTTCCCCTAGATTATGCGACACTTATTTCAGAATCGGGCTCGTTTAATGCTGTAATTAGCATTTCATTCACGGGACATTTTTAGCTTTCCGTGACAAACCCAGGAAGGTCATACGTATTCTAGACATTAATTTTACTTTTCACACGCCTGAGCACAGGAGGTTTTACAAAATATGAAACACTGGTCAACTTATTTGGATAAGCTGCATTGGCCTACTATTAAATTGTCTTCCTTCAGACCGATTTCAAAGCAATTTAGCGTTAGTTTCCGCCTGAGGGACTTGTGTTCATTCGCACAACAAATGAAACAATAAATTAGCACTAAATTAAAATGCAGAAAAGCAATGCTTAGAGAGAAAGACTACAAATAACTGACTTTATCCCTGGGGAATCCAGACCACCTTATCCATATCAGACCACCATTACTGATGAAGACTTTTACAGTATGGCCATTTTGGGTTAAATGTAGGGTTCATTCTGCAGGGATAATTCTGAGATCATATACCATTTGGCACACAATTGCAGTAAGAAACTACATAATAGTCCAATCACAGCATTAATTTAAAATGCCAGCCAATGCAGTATTAAGACAAATTGAGAAAATTCTAAGTGCGCTTGCAGTGAGCACCTAACAAATGTTTGGCGCCCTCTATAGGATATTAATGTTAAAACATGACATCAGGGTAGGTTCAATAAACTGCCTGTTTGACCAAGATTTTTTCCCTCAATATTTAGGTCTTTGGGTGTTATTAACAAATATTAAAGTATCAACGATTATCGCATTCCCTACGAAGACACACTCTTAATGTGCAGTGCTGCTTTAGAGGTAGTTTTCCTGCACCGGTTAGCTATGGATTACATTACTGTGAACACTTAAAAAATAAAAAAAGTTTTAAAAGTATAGCAACATTAAATTGGCAACCTTAGCTGACTGAAAAGAAGTGGGAAAAAGTAACACTGTAATGATTGCACAAATATTAATGGGAGCAGTAAAAATGCACTGTGGGCCTATAGAAAAGCAAGGGCATTGTGGAAACCAAATTTGGGGATAGGCATCATTTCAAAACCACACACGAGACATAAAAATACACATACACAGATATTAGAGTTGTTAAAACTTTATGTAATTATAATATATTCAGCAAATTACAACCACTGCTGGCAGTATTACATTTAGCTAGATGACCAGCTAGTAAACGTCAGCCAGAAAATAGTTTGCTAGTTGTGTTCAAAAAACATGACATGGAGATGAAAAAGGCTGTGTTGTGTCGGTGTTTGTGGCTAGCTAACAAATACTTAAGAACACTGTAATTTCTACAGGCAAAACTATGAGCTGAGTCGGTCCGCCTTCTATCTTGCTGTCTAACGTTAGCTAGCTAACATTAATGTAAATTCATAACGCAGCTTCACAGTATGTGCTAGCACATTGATTACATAGCTACCAAAGCAGACATGTGTGTGAAATATTATGACAGTTCTAGGCTAACGTAGTAATGTCTGTGGGACAACCAGACAGAAACAATTCAGCTGCATGAACGTCGCGATGTGACAACTCGTTAATGATGCGTAGAGTTTTCAGTAGAAAATGGGAATGATGAGGGATGGGGAGGGGGATTAAGAGATGCGATCTGACGGAGGAAGCTCAATCATTAGCCAGACTACCCTGATTGCAAGTTTACTGTAAGTTTAACACCATGTAATTCACAGTCAAAATAGGCACGTTATAGGTTGACTGAATAATTAATGTATACATTTTTACAAAATATTGGGTAGGCACGTGCCTGCCTAAACTGATTGGCACAATGCCACTACAAAATACAATGCAACAAAAATAATACAATACAATACCATGAGAGCACTGTCCTACTGGTGTGTACTGTTGTGCTTTTATGTCTATACAAACCATTTTAAATTCAGTAACCTTTGCTGGATTTACAGTTTGACACAGTGACAGATTATTTCGGCCTTTATGTACAAATCACGACCAATATTTATGTCAAAGTGAAAAGGAAACAAAAATGAAAATGGACAAAACATATTAATAAAATTTGGTTAAATCTGAGTTTTAAATCTCAGCAACAACCCCTAAGAAGTATGACAAACTGCTTAACAGGGGACAGAAGAGGTTAATTAGCTTCTATGTGTTTGACTGTAAGGTGTGACTGATTCAAACTATAGGCAGCCTCCCTTACAAGGCAGTGCAGACTCAACGGCGAGTGGGGATCTATCTGAAGTCTGAAACAAAACTACGGAAATGCACAGATCAGGTGATGGCTATAAAAGGATCTCGAGGGCTTTTGCGATCCCTTGGAACACTGTCAAATTCATCATTAATAAACATGGCACCATCAAGACCTTGCCCTAGATCAGCTCATCTCACTAAAGGCGGTTGATCAGAGTAGTCACCAATAAGCACTGTGAAGATAATGCCGGTTCTTTTTGAAAGAATTTTGTAACATTAACAAATTTATCAACATAAATTGCCAACACGTGCCAACATGGAAGAACTCCATTCAAAGTCTAACTGTTGCACAAAGTATACAAAACAGTTTTATATTTGGCTAATTCTGTGTGCCTTTAAGACAATTACTTTAAGAAATGCTGCCATTGAAAAAATTGAAGCAGAAACCCCTGTGCCTGACTTTCCATCTTTTATCAATTTTTTTTTTCATCCTTTCTCATAGCTCCTCACAAGAAGAGAAAAAAAACACTTTATTATCTGGGAACGGACATTTTAAACTAGTCTATACCTGCAATAAAGGAGACCATCTTTGCTTCACCTGTCTTTTATATAAACTGAATACAATCTATAAATTGAATAAAAGGAAAACATGTTTTGAGACATAAATTTAAACTCAGTGCATCATCAAAATCTAAAAAAGTGACAATAGAAAAAAAGCAGTAGTCATAATGTTTCCTTTTTAAAATGTTTCCAATTTCCAGCGGCACAGCCAGCAGCCACACCCCCTCACGGCCTGTAGTCTTTCAGCTGCTCATAGAAACCCGGGTTCGGACGAATGGCAGGTCTGGCTGCTTTCACCAGGGCCAAAGCAGCATTGAACGCCAGTCCCTCTCTGGACATCAGGTACCCGATTACTATGGCAGCAGAGCGGGACACTCCCGCATTGCAGTGGACAAGCACCACTCCTCCCTGCGGCCAAGAAAACACAAGGCAATGATTATAAAGGCTAAAATACAAACCAAAGGGCACACACACCTATTCATTACAGCCACTTTTTACAAATTTATTTAGAGAAAACAACATTTACATCTCATGTGAAACAATCAGAAAGGCGATATCATTCCTCGAATGAGACTGTCAGCGCTGATTTTACAACAGCCTATAAAACTTGATTACGAATCACAATAAATGGTCCTATTGTTCATTTTTCCATTTTGTGGAGCTATGCAGTAAAGCAGCAGGGCTGCTGACCCCAGTGCCAGGCAAAGTCATTCACTTGTATCAATATACTGCAAAATGTCTTCATTTAGCCTTTACCACAGAGCTTATGATATACTGTTTCTGTGCTGTTTTTTAACAGAACATCATACAGGACAGGAATGGAAACAACAAGATCTTTATGATCTTCATTGGGCCCAGGGAGAAGTTCTTGTCAAGTCAAAGTCAAGTTTAAAAAAAAAAAAAAGAACTTTACGGTCATCTCCACTATCCACCATCTCCACTGTATGTAAGTATACAGAGAGACGGAACGACGTGGCTCCAGTTTAACGGAGTACACAGAACAAAAGGCGCACAGAATTTACATACATAAATACAAAAAATACATTATAAAAATTTTAACTCTAAACCTAAACCTAAGTAGACAAGATAAAACCATATTAAAAGAAATATCGTGCATGTAGCTGCGAGGTACACAGAGCACAAACGCACAAGTAATGTAAAACACACAAAGTGCAGTGACAGTACACATACTGCAAACAAATAAACACAGTGTTAATTAAAAAGTTCACAGTACACAAAACATCCTGAAAAACGGAATAGCAAGGAAATATGTATAAATAAAAAAATGAATAAATTAACAAATGGTATATGTGAAATGGACACAAATGAAAAACAATTGTTACAAAGTGCGGAAGGGTTTCTTTACAGGGATGTAATTCAAAATAAATATATAACTACGGACATAACAGAAAGGGGAACTAATACATGGGCACACAAGGCATGCACTTTACCTCTGCTTTAACTTGGTCAATAAACTGAGAGGTCTCGTGGAAATATGAAGTGATGTCAGTTTCTGGCAGGTCCAATATATTTAATGTTTTATATACAAACAGATCAGGGGAAATGTTTTCAACACCATATCCGACATTTAAAATGTGTGAAACCTGAAATGGGAAGAAAATCATCAAACAAGAAAAAAAACATTAATTATATAAATATTAAATAAATCTAGTTACTGCATCAGAAATATGTAGTTTACTTAACTCACCTTCAATTCTTTCAAAGTGTCTAAATCATGTGCAACATCCTGCGAAGCTACAGAAACACAGGATATGCATAGATTATATGACATCAACAACCATTCTTTCAACTTTTGTTTTATTTAATAATAGTTCAAAACTAACTTGTTAAGAAGACTAACTGCTGTTGAAATGCAGTTATTCCTCATGGGAGCTTGTAAAATGTTAAAAATCTTTGTTGTACTTAAACTATCATTTTTACTTGAGTGCTGCAAAACATCTAATCTTATTTATTCATTCATTCTTCTAACTCACCAAGGAGCAGGTAAGGCTTGATGACTCCAACTTGAAGATCCAAACTATTATCCTCAATGTAACCATACGCTCCATCTGGCTGCCCGCCATCTTCAACAACACACAAATTAGAACCCTGCCACGTTTCGATTAGTCTCTTTCCACCTAATGTTGTCACCTGGGTGCACTGTTTTTTCAGGGCGGTCTTAGAAAATGTTTTAATTTCATTTGCAAGGGACTGCATTGCGTATGTATGGATGTTTAACAACGAAAGAAAGGAGAGGCGGCCCAAAAAAATCCTAATAGCCAATTATTGATTATTACAATATTGGTAAATAAACCAGCATATATTTTTATTGCTATCTAATGAAAATATTGCCACCTAGTGGTTTGGAATACAACATATGGATTAGGACATTTGGAATGCAAAAACAGCTAAACTATCTGGTAAACTGTTTTTGCTGTTTAGTAATTTTATTTTCTTGTATTTGAATAATGGAAAGTCTTTGTAAAAACGATCAGAAAACAACGCTAGTTACGCCAAGTAATACATTTTGTCGTGTGTACACCGACCAGCTGCCACTGACAGCTGGGCCGAACGTGACGCAATTAACAACCGTGTAACGCGGAAACGTCTAAAATGCACATGCGCAGTAGGTAAATAATCAGACGCGACAAGTCAGTACAACAATCTCGGGTTTACGTTACGTTGAAAGTCTAGTTCATGCAACATAAAGGACCGCATTACTACAGAAAACGAAACAATCAATTCTCAAAAAAAATCCTTAGTCTTCATGCCGTAGTGTGTCAGTACAACGCAACGCCACCTCACGCCCCAAAATATGACTCATTACCACAGCGAACCACAAAGGCGGAAATGGCGGCAGCACGCGTCACGTGACAAGCCACGTGACGCGCGGGTGTCGCAGGAAACAGCCTCGTTCTGAGGATGAGGGCAACACCTATAGAAAACAGGGAGACGGCCGGAGGGTGGTCCGCTCTTCACTCGCCTGTTTACCCGTAATATGGGTGAATTCTAACACTAAAAACGCCCGGGCTATCTTATTTTCACCATAAACACTACACAAAAGGGTAATTCTACCGTTTTCTCCATTTCGTGACGCGAACGTGAAAGGCGGCATGTCGAAGGGTGTGCTGCAGCCGAGCCAGCAGAAGCTGGCGGAGAAACTGACCATCTTAAACGATAGAGGAATCGGGATGCTGACTCGCATCTATAACATCAAGAAGGTAAGGTATGAGAGCGGCGCAGACCGCTTTTTCGAAACCAAAGGACTGTCTTAAATTCGATGTTTTGCCGTATGTTTGCTTTGCGTTTAGCAGCAATAGCAGTGAAACATGACTGCGGCGTATATGAATGGACAGGAATGCAGTCGAGGCCCTAGAAGGCATGTTGTTGCATCGGGCAGTGACACCAGCTAATCATCACGCTTTCTGGGATGTATTTTAATGCAGTACTTAACATGTGTTGCATGATTTCTTCTTTTACTGACCTTTATTCGCGGTGAATGCCCTATTAGCTACGCGTATGACAGTGGGCTTCGTCGATGCAGCTGCAGTGATAGTAAATGAAACAGTCGTGTTTATTTGGGTGCCATAGTTCTTCGTATCATTTATCCAAATTCCTTTAAAATTATCCACAAAAATGAAGTAACTACAATGAAAGAAATGTAATATTAATTCGCTTAACTCGGGACATGAGTTTTTATTTCTGCTTTGGACACATTTAGGGGGTCTGCATAAAGAAATAGCTATAGCACAACTCAATGATTGGTGCCGTGGTGATTTAAAACGTATCTGTTTAATTTAGCACTACATTTGATATTATGGTATGATTGATTGGGACAAATTGATACTGTTTAGTTGGTGGGGGAATATGTTATATATTAATTGCAGTCGGACAGTGACTAACCGTCTTTGTCATTCTCATGTGCAGATGTCAAGAGTAGATTAAAGAAAAAAATCTTTCGGGAAGGTTCTCTATTAAAGGTGCTATGTTACGAAATCAGTCATAGGAACAAAATTGAGGCATTAATGGCATTATCCAAAGAAATGAGACTGAGAGCGTTTTCTAAGATTTACAAAATACTTTTTGTATTATTATTATTTGTAATTAATTCAGTTGGAGCTGTCCGTGCTCTTGGGTACTGAAATGTAGAGTTAAGCGGAGAGGACAGATGGTGTAGGAAATGGATGCCTTACATAAAAATAAGATGTTATATTTCCAGGAAATCTTTTTATGGCATGGCAAAGTTGTGTGCATAAAGAAGCTGAACAGTGTGAGAGAGCTACTTGTGATTAAATTTGGCACTTACCCTTTCCTTTTGGCATTGTGAATAATAGTGTTGTGCAGTCATAAACAAAGTATTTTGGGCCGCCATGTTGCTTGACACAGAGCAGCAGTAGTTCGGATAATCCTCAATCACCATTTGCTAAAGTAAGTGTCAAGTTCCAGAAGAAATTTGTTAACCAAGAAGATTTGGCCTCCAAGGACCCTTGTCACAAAGACGTTCTGTTTGTGCTTTTGTTCTCATTTTTTTTCTGTTTTCATTTAGTCTAAATCTGTTGAATGGTTTTGGGTTGTCTGCATTACGCTCTGTCACTGTGATTTTAAAAACATTGCAGTGATTGTGCCATCATATTATTTGGCAGTGGATGTATATTATAACCAAAAGCATTTTTACTCAGATGTCATAACATGGGTAGGAGGATGGCGTAGTGATCATGTAAGGACTTGGATTTGAATCATGGTGGCTGTCAGTCCAAAGATGAGTCATGCTGTTGTACCTTTTGAGAAGAAAAGTTTCTCTGATTTTATCTAGTGAAATTCCTAACTGTAAAAATGTAAGTCCCTTTGGGTATTGACTGTTTGAAATGAATATCAGTTTGTTCCTTGAATTTGCGGAACTGAGATGGCAGTGCTGGCTGTTGTCAGCTACAGCCAGGATATAGGTCTCGGGCAAACAAATATTTCCTAAGGCTGCTGGTAAGGGATGCATTCATAGTGTTTTGTAATTTCCACTCAGGAACATCGGGCCTCACTTTTGATGTTTTAGGATTATTTATACAGATGCTTTTGCCCAAAGCAACATACAGATGAAGATCAGATTAGCATGGTTAGCCAGTCCCAGGAGCATGTGGGGTCAAAGTCCTTGCTCAAAGGGTTAACAGTGACACCTTTTTTGCCTGGGGACTTGAATTGACACCCTTTAGATCATGGGTGTAGGTGGTCACACTGCCCCGCTCTTGTGGTCATCCTGGCTGGGGTTGTTATCATTTAGGGGAAACATTGAAGACTTATGAGCAGTTTTATCCATTATATTACAGAAATACCTGTTTGTTTTCGTACACCATATCCATAATAGCCCACTTGTGCATGCTTTGTGGCTCATTTGATGATGTCTCTGTTCTGTTCCATTTTTAAAAATTTGAGTGTCTTGTGGATGTTCTATCAAGTGGAATGTGTAAACTTGTGTTTAAATGATTGGCAGACCCTGTTGCTAGGCAACTGGCAGGCACAGACCCAAACACCAACATAGATACTCTCAAAATCTGGGTTTATTAAGCTGCGTTAAGGGCTATGAATAAATAAAATGAACGAGATCTATGCATAAACTCTTATGCTCACTTCAGTAATAATAGTAAGAAAGTATGTAACAGTTACATTTAGGGCTGCACAATTCGGAAAAAAATGTGAATCACGATTTTTTTGCTTAGAATTGAGATCACGATTTTCTGTAACAATTTTTTTTCCCTCAAATTAAAATGTTTACTGCACTCATTAAACTGCAAAAGGAAACAAAATATGACTCTGGGAAACATATGATCGATCAAGGACCAACATATCAACTTCTGACAACAGAATGGAAATGCTCAGTTGACCATTCAGTTAGGGTAACCATAACAGCCATGTCAATAGTTCCAGTACCAAACGTGCCAGTGGGGTACTTTTTTGGCAATTCGGGACTTTGGGGTGGGAGTTGAAATGCTTTCTTTTTCGATTGGTTATACAAATAGCCTGCATCTGAAATGCAATACAGTGGTACCTCAGTTGTCGAACTCATTAGAACTCGAATTTCTTAAGTCGAACCAACCAGTTCGAAAAAAAATTACCTAGAACTCGATCTGAATCTCAGAAGTCAAACCGTGAACGCCGACCTAAAGATAACTTGTACGCATGGGGAAACAAGGGGTAACGCTTCAGTCTCAGCCTCGCATTCACTGTGATAGCATCGTGCATGTTTACACTAGCTGAATACATATATTTAGACAGTAAAAATACATTTAGACCATGATAGACAGTATTTATTATTATATAATAAAATACATTTAAAAATAAAGATTTCTTATTCATTATTTTAATATTAATAATAAACCATTATCCATCCATCCATCCATTTTCCAACCCACTTATCATATTGGGTCGCGGGGGGTCCGGAGCCTATCCCGGAAGCAATGGGCACGAGGCAGGGAACAACCCTGGACAGGGGGCCAGCCCATCACAGGGCACACTCACACACCATTCACTCACACAAGCACACCTACAGGCAATTGAGGAACTCCAATTAGCCTCAGCATGTCTTTGGACTGTGGGGGGAAACCAGAGTACCCAATACATTTTTTTGGGGGGAAAATTCGATCAGAACTCTAACTCTTTAGGATTTGGTCCGGAGTTCTGGACGGATTCATTTCTTGTTCTGAGGTACCACTGTACTACTGCCATCTTGAAAACGGTTGCAAACTCCGAAAACGACAATAATGAAGTAAAAAAATAAATAAATAATAATAATAATGGGTGTGTGGATAAATGAAGTGACCCAAGCATTAATTATGATCTGATTGGAAGAACCAGAGATCAAGACAGCATAAAAAATATATAGTATAATATACTAGGACAGCACAGTATTGGAAAATTTCTAAGTATTGAAATGTGATTTTGTTGTAATAAATATTGGGGTATTTATAAAACCAAAAAAGGAGCTCAACATAAATTCCTCACAAAACCATCTAGGAATGATTTAAACAAGCAAGGATGAAAATTATTATCATTCTCGGAGAACGCATGCAGCACTCATGCAAAAGCATCGGAGGTAAACTTTAAACTGATATTTATACATATACTTAATCTTGAAAAGATATAATAATTAAAATAGTGAAAATTGAAAGTCATCTGCAGTGAAATGTGGAGCAAAATATATATTTGCTGAAATGTAATTGAAACATTAGCTTCACAGTCAAAATAATTCATATAAGCAAGCAAATCATCTTACTAGATCTGGTGGTGTGGTAATTAAGTATTTAGCCTCTTCAATATTTATCATTTGGTGTCCAGGTAACAGGGACTCAAATTTCATTTTAGAACAGTGCAGAGCCATAGAGTATAAGAATACCTTTGGATACTTTTGGAGCTGACTTGGCAGCAACTCTTGGATAATTATTTAAAGCACAAGATGCACTTCAGAATATTTGTTCTTTGCAGAGAATTTTACAAAACAGATGTCTATTAGATATCCTGCATTCAGATGGCATTGTTTTATTAAATTTTAATTTTAATGTCATTGTTCTCGAGAGTCATATTTTGTGAAATCAAACGGCCACTTTTGTTTTTGTGTTGATGTCAGAATAGTGTGAGAGTGATCTTTTCTAGTCTTTGAGTTTTGACACTTTGTAAAACTGCAGTTAATTCCTTTATTTAAAATCTTCATGAGGGATGAATTGACTTGAGGAAAGGGTGATGCTTTTTTTCAGCTGGAAAAAAAGACCCCAGAAACTTCCTGTCAAGTCTTTGGAGAAGGCTCAGTGGAGAGATGCAGGATGTTCTTTCTTATCTCATGTGTAAGGATAAGGGGTAATTGGTC